TCTCTATTTGTTAGGCGTATCTTCAACTAAAATTATTTGTATAAGGAATTGCACTTTATGAAAACTTTGAAGATCAGTGAATTGTGCGTATGTCTACACTTAAAATAATCGAGTTTTTTTAAGCACTTATGAATTTTTCAGATACGTACATATTACTTTATTCTATCATATTTAATTATATATGAATTGAGATATCAGATTTAACAACTTGATCTTGATTTTTAAATTTTATAAGATTTATTTATATATAAGCCTGTTCTATATAAATTATACGTAATTTTTGCTATTTTCTATGCACCAAATGTGCCTGAATCTCACATGTTAGCTCGCTTCAATCTGTCAATCTCACAAAGTTATCATGATCTTACAAGTGCTAATCACCATGGACACTCCATACATTATATCAGTAAATTCAAAAATGACATTAGTAAAGAACATAATAATTAATAACAATGTTGAAAAATCATAATAATATGAAGACGGTAGAAGTGGCCAAGCCTAATAATATGAAAATGGGAGTAGAGTACTTGATAATGCTGGAAGCTCCATCTTCATCATCCTGGCTTCTAAGATAGCTCAAAGTAGATTATTCTGATGAAGGGCTTCGCGCTGATCCTTTTGCTGGCACATCACCTGCAAATTAATGACAGTAAATAGCAAAGAGCTTAAATTGGTTCTCGTGTCTTCAAAAATATTTTCTTTAAAATCAATATTATAATAAATAAATTGTTTTGTCGAATAATATGTGATAAAAAAACATTTAATATTTCAAAAAGTGTTTTTTTTGGATAATAATAACATCACAATTTACAAGTAGAAATTCATAGACCCATCCTAAAAAACTTAAAAGCCCTTTAAATTTATAAACCTAATTTTATTTATGTGACTTAACGTGAGATTCATAATAATTTATTCAACTTCTTGACAGCTTAGGCTCTCTCCCATTTATTTCATCAAGCCAGTTAATGAGGGCAAAATTGTATTACCAAAAATTATTATAACACTCTTGTATTTAGGAATAAAACAAGTTTTTAACACACACACACACACACAATCTTGGAGGTCAAATTGTGATGTTTCATAATTTTTCTATTGAAAAATGTAAGTTATCTTTTAGGGGTTGAATGTTAAAATATGTAAGGTAATTTTTTTAAAGTATAATTATTATTTTTTTTTAAAAGTGTTTCTATGAATAAATCATTTATATTTATTTTAGGGTGAGAAACATTATTTAATAAGGATAAATATAAAAAATAAAATTAATTTAAAAATAAATAATTACTTTATTAAGATGAGTTTCTATTAAAAATATTTTATATTTGTGAATAGATGAAACTTGTAAAATATCAAGAGGGTTTGTTAACTCTCCTGCATTTAGTCAACATACTTATAGATAATCATATTTATTCATTTTTAATATTTTGAAATTCAATTTTTAAAAGATGAATAGCAGATTTGCAGTCATCTTAAATCAAAGGCCGGTTGATCCAGTGGCACCTTATCGAATCCGAGTGGGGAAGTTTTCCTTTGAAAGAGCGTAGTGTGTGAGTAAATCAAAATATTATTCGTTTATACTTTTTTGACCAGAAATCACATTAATTACTTTTTGTGCACCATAGATTCGAACTCGAGACCCATACATAGAGGTCCAAAGCCATTACCAATAGGACACTGATTCACTCTTGGAGTTCACATTAATTACTTGGAGGAGAGCAGTTGATAGAATAATATAAGTAGTAACTAGTAGCCTCATGTGAGTGTTATCAATTGAAAAGTAAAAATATCAACTCACTTTATTTGAGCGAAAAAACAGAAAGCTTTAGCTAGCATGGCACGTGGTGGGGACCACGTGCACAATTTTATATAAGCTAGGCTGCGCACTTATTTTGATACTATTTCAACACTACCCTCACTCCAATTAAAGATAAAATAGGTAATGTAATATAATTTGATTTAAAATAGGTGTTGTTATATATATATATATATATATATATGCTTCATCTGTCTTGTAACCTGGATATAAATTTCAATTTTCAGATCAATTTTTTTTAATATAACAAGTAGACTTTGCAAATAATAAAAATTATTTCTTCTAAAATATTGAGAATAAAAACAAACTTCTCTTAATTAGATTGTTAGATGCACAAAAGTTTATATTTGATTACATATCACTTACTTAAGTAATGAGGACCGGTTCCCAGGGCTCATGCCTACTTACGTTTCTCATAAAGTAAAATTAAAAGGAGAGAGTGACCTTTTAATTACAGAAAATTGGATGATATATATACATATTATATATATACATATTATATATATATATAATTTTTTTTTTTGAATTATTCAACCATTCCCAACAATTTCGCACACGTTCTTTTCCACTTATTCATTCGTACACAGGAGAACACATTTGATGTTTGATGTTCCTATAATGCCAATCATATAATCACATCTTTCTCTCCTCGCACATGTTTTTGTTTTATTTTTTCACTCCATATATCATCAAAAAATAATAAAATTTATTCAAAATGTATAGCAAGCTCCGCCATTTACAAAATCATGTGGCTCATCATTATCCAAATAATGTATTAAAAAAATATACCAAGTCTTGTAATGACATCAAAAAAATAAACTGTAAGCTCATTTTTACATTTATCAATAATGAGACTCTTAATAAATTTAATTTTTAAGTGTATTGATAAAGTACTTAAATATCTTATAAAAAACACTACCAATATAAAATTGCAAGTAGCATCACATTATTGAAGACGGTGCGTTCTGCACCCACATCAACGTAAGCTTTGATTAAAAAAATTCAAATTTTATAGGAAAACAACACCGTGATTACAGGATCTTCAGATGTAAATAATTATATTTTAATTTATTTTTATCATTATATATTTTAATTTATTTTTAAATTTAATTATCCATTCGATTGAGTTCTGAAAAAAATTATCAAAACATAAATCATATTATAATTATCGATTATTTTTTAATTTTAATTTACTAACGTCAGTTGCATCCTAAATTCAAACTCACACTACAAAAGTTAAAAAGTGTAGCCTGCAAACGCACAAAACACACTAACCTTGTCGGAGTGATGTGACGGAACAAGTTGACTTATGAGCGTGAGATACCTTTAACGATCTTTCTTCAGTTATGTGCGTCTCTCATTTTTCATTCTTATCATCTTCATCATTGTGTTGGATTGTGATCTTACACAGCTTCCCCTTAACTCGGTGCTTCTCACTCCATCGTTCTACTTCTTCTGATCAAGCTACAGCATACTACTCCTGCAGGTTAGTCTCTCTTCATTTCTGTTTCTGCTCTCTCTCTCCCCCCTTCCTTGCTCACACACACATCTCTCTATTGCTCATAATTCTTGGTAGGCTCATGAATCTTATATCAGATCTCCATTTTCTTTCCTTCTTCTAAGTTTCAAACACTACCCCTTCACGCCATTTCAAGTAATCTTCCACCCTTCTTTCTTTCCCACTTAAAACAAAATTCATTAATAACTGCTTTTCAATTTTATATTTTTTCTCCTTGCTAATTTAATGTTGATATCTGCTCCCTCTAAATTATATTTAAGTTATTTTAAATTATTTCACCTGATTCAAAGAAGGTAAATTTGTCTTAATTTTTTTTAAAAATCTAATTTTATTCTTATTAAAGATAGAGAAATAAATTTTAAAAAATAATGATTCATAATTTTTATATTATTTATATTAGGGACTAATAAATTATTTTAAAAGAAGTCTTATAAGTCCTAATATAGATAGGAAAGTTCTTATGTCACAAAAGATCTGAATTGCATGACTTTTACTTAGTACTCAAACAATGAAAGAATATGTTGCCAAAATTTATTTCAAGGTTCTTAAAAAAAAATAATTTCAAGATTTTTTTTTCATAAAAAAATCAATTAGTTAAAAAAAAATGGTAAATGGTGTTGGATTTGAGCCTGGAGGTAGATGAAAGCTTGGATATTGATTATCTCAAGTGTTGGGTTCTTTGTTTATTTCGAAGTGTTGGACTGTATGTTTTGTGGTGTTGGATTTGTTGTTTACTGCTTCTAGTTTGTCGGCTTTGGCGCAATCTTTTCACTGAATCTTGGCCCCAAAAAAAAAAAAAGTTGTTTGTTTCTGTTAAGGTTAGCATATGTTTTGATTCTGTTTGTTTCTGTTACTCATTGTCATTTGGTTTATGTTTAATTTGACTATTCGATTTTCTCACGTAGTGAATGTAGTAGTCTAGTAGATAGTATTTGGACACAAAAAAAAAAAAAAAGACTAATGCACTAAAATGAAAAACCAAAATTTAAGTTGCATGACATATTAACTTTCAATTACATAAACTAATTACATAGAAGAATGACACGTAAATTCTAAAAAAAATCAATTTTATAACAGTTAAGTCTTAATAAATTTTATTAAAAGATGAGTTGAAAATATTTATTAATAGTGAGTTGCAAATGTGAGAAAAATTATTATGAGTGACTTATTATGAGACTAAAATATTGAATTTGCATTTATCACTCTGTCTCTGTATCTCATACTGTTGAAATTTATATTTGTAATTTATTTTTTAAATAAGTTTTTAGTGATTCAACTATAATTAAACTAATCTTTTACACCCTAGTGTTATTTTTCAAAAAAAAAAAAAAATGACTAGAAATTTGAACTGCCAAACATGCTAACTAATATTCTCTCCATCCCAAATTATAAGGCACTTTTGAAAGAGTTTATCCATTTCAAAATATAAAATACTTTGAGTAGATTAAGGTTTCATTAAATGCACTAATTTTAATATTATCCTTTCGCTTTCTATAATTAATCTCCACCACTTTTCTTTTCAATATATTAAATGATGGGTATTTTGAAAAGTTTATTTTTTTTTAAAAAAATAAAGTTGTTAAGTGTATTTAATGAGAATTATTGATATGTGAGATTTTATTTAAAAGTGATTTATAATTTGGGAAGGAGGGAGTAACTTATTATTATGCACATATGCATATATACCATATCTTTTGCGTAATAAAAGCTGTTACTTGTGATTTAATAATTTGATATGCTCTTTCAGTTACGTATTCGTTTTTTGGCTGTTGTGATCCGAGTTTGAAGAGGGAAAAAAAAGAAAAAAAACAGAGAGAGAGACAGGTTTTTCTTTGTTGCCAGTTATCACCAATCAGGGTTCAAACCTCAGGAAGGTAAAAAAAAAAAAAGTGGTAAATATCCATTTAATTCGAGTGATTTTCCTCCTCTCTGTGTGCGCACGTGTGCGGCTTTTTTATTTTTAAAATTACTAGTATTTATTATCTTTTTCATCACTTTCAATTTCTTGGAGTACAATTTCATTTGTTTTATGCATCATGAAAAAAATTACAATGTACAGCGGTCAAATAGGATCATTTTTTTCTCGAGACATTTTACTTTTTTTCATCACGTGGGAATTAGAATTAATTCTTGTTTATCTACTTTTGTCCATGTGAGGTGAAAAGAAACGTTTGTATTCAGCTATAAAGTTTATTTTGTATACTGCAGGAAGTTCCATTTTTTTATTAATGGGAGTTCTCGGTATCGGTTTATATGGTTCGAATTAACCAACGTTAAATTTTGAAATATTAGCTAATCAATCGTATCCTGTGGCACTGGAAATATCATAGAAAAATGATATGTATTTTTATTTTTATTTTTAACTTTGAATAATAATACAATTATATTAACTACTTTCAAGCTAATTAAGAAGAAATAAAATTGAAAAAAGTGGTTTAATTATTATAAAGTGTCTTATATTTTAAATTAAAAATTATTTATAAAAAGTGTTTTATAAATAAGATTGGAAGAGTATCTTCTGTACCTACTAGAAAAGAATCCAATCTCCATTGTAATTCAAGACTTGAAAGTTGACTCCTAAGTCCTAACCAACCAATGTTGTCATAATCGGAAGGGGCACTGGTTCATTAAATTGTAGTTGGACTAAGGGCTGTTTTTGGTTTGATTGATTGAACCGGCCATTCCAAAGGCCTAAATGCAATCCAACTCGGCCTGAAATTATTTTAAAAAATATTTAAAATATCTTTTAAGAAAAAATATAACTACCATCATTTAAAATATGATTTTTTGACAACCTAAAATATTTTTTTCTATAGAACTAATATTAAGATAAAAAATAATTATTTTAAAATTATATATGCTTAATAATTAACAATTATTTTTGTACTTGTATCATTGTTAATTACGTTAATGCATTGCGAGTCCTGGACAAGTATTTATAACTGATGACATTAAAAAATGTATCAAAATTTTCTATTCATAAAAGCTGTCGTTAAACTTAATTAAAGCCTATTTATGTTTTTCAAACTATTAATTTGTTAAAGAATTAAGTTAAATAAAAAACGTAAAATTTGATAGCAGCCTTTAAGTATTACAGTTCACTGATATATGCTTGTGTATTATTTTATACCTCTTTGGCCACTATAGTACTGGCTTCTGATTAATCATTTCTGTGTTCTACTATTCGTCTATTTGATTTTTTTTAAACCTTTTTTGCAGCTTTATCTTCGTTGATTGCTTTTAGTTTTCTACAAATTCTATAAAAATCCGAAAAAAGAAAGAAAAATCTGACAAAAAGGGAAAGGCATCATCCAAGAAAGTTGAAATCTTCCACAAAAACAAAAGGTAGTAAGTATACATTTTTAATGATTTATTATTTTTGTGCTTACATTGCTATATTTGTCATTTGATCAAATTAAATGTATAGTTTATGCTCTATGCTTATTTAGTTTATCATTTGCCAGAATATCAAATATAGTTTATGCTCTCTATGCTTATTTATCACCAATTAAATGATGCTTTCATAAGATCGATTAATTATTAGATAGAGAGATAAATAATTGTTATAAAACATGAAGATATTTTTTTCCCCTGAAAGGCACTTCTAAATAAGCATTTTTTTTAAACTTCCATTCTGAGCCTCTAATGGCATTTGTTGATTAAATTTCACAAAATAAAAAAATAGAGGTATTAGTCATTTCATTATTATCTCATATCTGTGTGTCATATTAATTTTTCTCCATTTTTCTTGCAGCTTGTGTACCATGATTTAAACAAATTTATGGCAGTTAGGCTTCATTCATCTGTTCGTTCCTGTTCTGTCTGTGCTTCCAAATAGTTGAATTCTTCAGGTCAGAAAAAGAAAAGAAAGAAAAAAAAGAGCTTTGCACTCCTTTTTTGAGGTAAAGTGATCATTTACATCATTTATTAAAATTTGAATTTTGATTATTCTTTATGGGCGTTTTTGTCTTTTGATATCTTAAATCTAAGTGGAAACATTAGATTTAAGAAAAACTCTAATTAAAACAATGAAAGTCTATAGAAGGGTGAAAGATCATATCTGCCCTTAAACTATTTTTCAATCCGTATTGGGTATCCTGTACACTATGATGTGGTGCAATTTAATCCATTAACTAAAAAAATGTAGCAACTTACACTTTTTGTGGTACCATTTATTTGTGAACAAATATTTTGCTTAATGATTGGGTTGGTCTGAGTAAAGCGGAAAGAACAAAGATGACTTAGTTAAAGAGAGAAGATAAGATTGTTAAATGAATATGGTGTCCAGAAATGGACACTACCACCAAATGAATGGAAGGTGTAAGTTGCTACGTTTTTTTTAGTTGTTTGATTTATTTACATCACATTATAGTATATATAAAATATTTAATGTTTCTCAAAAAGTAGTTTAAGGGCAAATTTTACCAAATTGTTTGTGGGAATTGAGAAAGCTGAAATTGTTTTTGATCAACAAAATTACTCTCAAATTTTACAAGCATTCCTATTATACTTTAAGAAAAATGTTGTCAAATTGTATAAGCTAAAATTCTTTTTCATAATCTTATAATATAGTTCTTGAAAATCAGCAAGATTTTGTTGGAAATTAATAAACTTTACAATTATAAACTAAATGTTAAGATCTACATTATTATATATGAATACAGACGCATTGTAATGATTTATAATTCTAAAATGTGACTATCTCAATTATGAATTATAAGATATAGTAATTCAATATAAAATTGTAATTTTTTTTTTATTTGGGTAGATTTATCACGAGCTAGCAACATATCAAAAATATTAACAATACAAGAACGTCTACTCCCCCGTTTGTTTGTTTTTTTTTAGGGCCCCAGCTAATTTCTTTTTCATTGAATATAATTTCACTAAACAAGAATTAAAGTAACATATCCATTTCTTTTTATTATCCATGTTGATTATCTCATTTTTTTTTGTGTATTGATAATTTGATATGATCTCTGAAGTTCTTCTTTTGGTATGCCAACATTTGTTTGCATTTTAATTCTTCATTTTAATTTTTTATTTCTCTTTTTCTTTTTGGTTTGGTTTAATTTATATGTATATTTGTTTTATAAGAATATCGGCCCTATTATTAGAGAGCTAGTAAGTGGGCAGGTATGGCGCATATAGGTCAATAGACTGAGGTCCAAATGGCCCATCTAGTTTCAGCTTCTTGTCCCTGACTTACCATATTACATTAAGGTTGTATTTGGCAGAGTGAATTTGGATTGAAAATTTTTCATTTGAAATTTATAAATTTTAAATTCTTTGTTTAGATGATATAGAAAATAAAAAATCAATCATTTATTTTTTGTAATTTTGACTTAGTTGTAATTCAGTTTTTAAATTTTAACTCGTTATAATTTAATCTTTGAAGTTTTGATTTAGTTATAAATTAATATTTCTCTAAAATTTAGTTCCTAAAATTTCAACCTCTTAAATATTTCTCCCTATATTTTAAAAAATAAAATTATAAAGATTAAAAATATTTTAAAATTTAGTGCTAATATCAAATTACTAAACCCTTTTAATAATTGTAAATATTAAAAGTTTAAAATATTTTTGATTTTTATAATTTTATTTTTTTGATTAAATTTCAACCTTTAATGGCATTTGTTGATTAAATTTCACAAAAAAAAAATACAGATATTAGCCATTTCATTATCATATACTTCCTCGGTCTTCTTTATAAGTTATTTCTACTAACTCCATCAATACTAATGTGAAAGAAGTATGAGGAATAAAAGTGTGTAGAATTCAAAATATGTCTTTATATTGCAAATCTAAAAAGTAATGTGTTACTTTTTCTCTCTGATGAAGGGTAATTTTAAAAATACTTTTAAAATATTACTTAAAAAGTCGCATTGTGACTTGTAAATAGGATTGGAGGAAGTATCTATCATCTATGTATCATACTAATTTTTCTTGCAGTTTGTGTACCTTGATTTTAACATATTTATGGCAGTTATGCTTCATTCATATGTTCATTCATGTTCTGTCTTTGCTTCCAAATTGTTGATTTCTTCGGTCAGGAAAGAATTAAGAAAAAAAGAAAAAGAGCTTTGTTTGTTGCCCTCCATTTTTGAGGTAAAGTCATGGTTTATACCATTTATTTAAGTTGAATTTTGATTATACTTTATGGGTAGTTATATCTTTAGTTATCTTAAATTTAAGGGGAATATTTACGTTTAAGATAAACTCTAACAAACAACTAATGGAAGTTTATAGAAGGTTGAAAGGACATATTTGCTCTTAAACTATTTTTCGACAAGTATTGGGCATCGTTTATATTATTATGTGGTGCAAATTAATCCATCAGCTAAAAAAAAAAAAAAGCGTAGCAACATCCCTTCCAATTTCATTCATATTTAAAAGAAAATTTTTTAAATTTGCATTATATTTTCTCTGATAATTAATTAGTTTATATAAAAATAATATTGAAAAAAAAAAACTAATCCTCATCAAGTGTTTTATATTAAGAAACATTAATTTAGTTGACCTAAGATTAGTTTACTCAAATTTTTTGATAATAAATCCTTTTAACTACTATATAGAATCTTGAATCCTTTCAAATCAAATTTTTTTTTTCTTTTCAACTTTTTGTTCAGTTTTCCTCCCTTCACGCGCATCTTTTTGTTATTAAACAGATTGTTTCGACATTTCTTTATTACCTTTTCATTTTCAGCCTTGAGGCTATCAACGGCTTTTCCCGACGAAAAAAAAAAGAGAAATGAATAAAAAGTCAAAGAAAAAATTAATGATGGTTAAGTTCTTATAAATTTTTTTGAAAAATAAGTTATCCATATTAATTCAAATAATTATAAATTTAGAAGTTCAAATTCTAAATGTAACTCTCCATTTGTAATTGATATTTCTGTTTCTAAATGTCTTAATCAATATTTATAACTTATTTTTTGAAATTTTTTGGTTAAAGGCCTAGTTATTATTAATTCCCTTTTCTATAATTTTATTGTCGCTCTGATCTCTCATCAGTCATTTCATTATCACTTAGTTGTCATGTATCGGGGACCAAAAAGAAAGAAAAGGCTTTTCTTTTTCTGCTGCACGGATTATTTATATAGGACCTGAAGTTTTCTCTCTATTTAGCAGTTTGTATACAGTGAATTCTTTGTATATCATATTTGGAAGCACTATAGACCATTTTTGGAGTCTTGATTTTAATGTCATGTCCATTTCAGATGGCATTTCCTGGGGAAGGTATTTTAACAGATCTTGCCAAGAGATTGGCAGATAAAACTATAACAGAGGTCAATTATTTTCGTCATTTTGATACTCATGTTTGTGAGTTTGAGCAACAACACAATGAGTTGGATGCAAAATTTGAAGAAGTGAATAATGATATTGAAGATGCCAAAAGAAAAAATGAGAACCCAACCAAAGATGTTGAGGTTTGGAAAGACAAAGCTTATATTCTAATTCAAGAGAATCGTAGAATCAAGCAAACATGGTCTTATAGTTCATGTCCTCATTGGAGATATCGACAGGGCAAGAGGTTGGCAAAGAGGATGCTAGCTATTAAAGATCACATACAAAAATGTAGCTTCGAAAGAGTGGCACATCCAGCTAAACTTCCAGGTATTAAATACCATGTTCTAGGAGACTTCATAGATTTTGAGAGCAGAAAATCAAAATTGAAGCAACTTGTAGAAGCTTTAGAAGATGGAAATCATCACATGGTTGGATTGCAAGGGATGGGGGGAACAGGCAAAACCACATTAGCAACACAAGTAGGCAAACAAATTGAAGAATCTAAAGCATTCGAGAAGGTCATCTTTGTCGTTGTGTCCAATCCTCCTGAGATCAGCAAGATTCGAGATGACATTGCAAGGCAATTAGGATTGCCTTTAGACAAAGCAGCGGAAGCAGATCACTCAAAGCTCTTGTGGTCTAGAATTTCTAATAAAGAAAGGAAATTACTTATAATATTGGATGATGTGTGGGAAAAGCTAAATCTTACAAACATTGGGATTCCATCTGGACCTGATCATAAGAATTGCTATGTTTTGATAACCACTCGCCATTCAAGAGTTTGTGAAGCAATGAGATGCCAAAAAACAATTCACCTATACACATTAACCGACGAGGATGCATTGAATCTTTTTCTATTTCATGCTACAAGTAATAATGGTCTTTCAAGAAAAGAGTTGGAGGATCTTGCACCAGGTTTTGTGAAGGAGTGTGGAGGATTACCAATTGCAATTGCATCACTAGCTAGCACATTAAGAATTTGGCCAGTAAGTGAATGGAAGGAAGCTTTGGCAACCTTAAGAAAATCTGAGAAATTTCTTGATATTGATGAAGATTTAGTTCAGGTTTATAGATGCTTAAGCTTAAGCTATGGGAATTTGAGAAATGAGAAGGCCCAAAAACTCTTTCTATTGTGTTCTATTTTCCCAGAAGATTATGAAATTCCTATAAATCTTATTATCAGACTTGGTATAGGGGCTGGAATTTTTGGCAAAGTTGAAAATTATTGTGCGGGAAGAAGTCAAGTACTTGGAGTGAAAAATGAACTTGTAGCTTCCACTTTGCTGTTGAAGGTTGACGAGAAAGAATGTGTAAAAATGCACGACTTGGTTCGTGAAGTGGCCTTGTGGATGGCAAAGGAGGATATTCAAGTGATCATGGATTCAAGGACAGCTTTAGAAACAAGCAAGAGAATTGTGTTTTGGAGTACTAATGATTTTCCAGATCAGTTTGATGGTGCAAAACTTGAAATTCTATTCCTTTGGATAAAAGGAGATGTTTTGGTGAAAAACCCAGAAACATTGTTCGCGGGGGTGGCAGGCCTCAGCATTCTTTTTTTACTTGGCAGGCCTAAGAAGCATTCTATTCCATCATTGTCACAATCACTTCTTTCATTAAAGAACATGCAAACTCTCATCTTGGATGGTTGGGAATTAGGTGACATCTCTATCTTGAAAAACTTACAAAGTCTTGTGACTCTTGAGTTGAAAAATTGTATAATAATTGAATTACCTAAAGATATCAAGGAATTAAAGAAGTTGAGATTGTTGGGATTAAGGAAGTGTGAAATTCAAAAGAACAATCCTTTTAAAGTGATTGAAACATGTTCCCAATTGGAAGAACTATATTTTGTTAAGAATGAGGATGTCGAAGATTGGAAGCTGCATCTTGACAAAGAAACTAGAGATGAAATTACTCATGATATATCTCCTCCAATATTGGGAATGTTTTCTATTGCTTGTGATGGTTATGAATATTTTAATGGGGATGATAATGGCTTGTTAAGATGCTTCAATACAAAACATGTGGAAGATTTAATTTCAAAATCCATGTTTAAGTACATTGTAGGAAGAGGAGAGGTTCTTGAGTTGGGAAAAAGGGAAGAAACAGGATGGAAATGCCTCATCCCTGACATTATTCCTGTGAAAGATGGAGGCATGAATGATTTAATTAAGCTTTGTTTGTATGAATGGGATGAGATTGAGTACCTCATTGATACTAGGAAGCATTGTTATTCAGAAGCCTTCTCCAGGCTGGTTGAACTACATTTGAATGGTGTGGATGTGAAAGAATTGTGTGGTGGTCTTCCGCCTTCTGGATTTCTTAAGAAGCTACAAATTTTAAACTTAAGGGAGTGTAAAAAATTGCACAACATATTCTTTGATGTCAATTTCAAAGTTCCTCATCTAAAGATTTTGACGTTAAGGAATTGTCCAATGTTCCAACCATCAATTTTCCCACTATTTGTTGCTCAAAGTCTGGTGCAGTTGGAAAATTTTACGATTGGAGATTGTGAGGACTTAAAAAGTTTAATCACATATGAGAGTCTTGGAAACGAATTAGGAGATGTTGATAATCAAAAGAGCTATGGCTTACCGTTTCCAAAGTTAAAGAATCTTAAAATTGAAGGATGTCATAAACTAGAATTGGTGTCACCCTTCCTTTTGGCAGGAGACCTTCCCCTTTTGGAAGAGATATATATATGGAATTGCAAGGAGCTAAAATACATATTTGGTAAATACCAAAATGAGGGCCATGTTTTGCATCAAGAGAATGAGCTTCCTTCCTTGAAGACAATGCGCCTTTCTTCTACACCAAATTTCATTAGCATTGTTCGAGAATTGAAGAAATGTATGCCGGTGCCATCTCCAGTTTTGAAAGAAGATTCAAAGGAGAAAAATGAAAACTCTAAGATGAGTGCTTTCTCATGGGCTCCTGGATGTTGTTTTCTACCAGCAACTAAAGACAGTGATAGTATTGGAGCATCTAATGGCACAATGCAACACCACCACCAAATTTCATCGGTATGTTCCACTTGTCCCTCTCTTTTTCAACATTTATTTTGTTAACTTGTTCATGCTATTAAATTGGCCTTTGATTAATTAAACTTGAATTATAGTATAAACAAACGATAAATAATATTCTCATCTAAGATCTGTTGAGATGTCATATATAAAGAGGATTATATTGTAATAGAACTATTCTAGAATGCTTGATTTGTTGAAAGTGTGATTTGATATTTTCAAAATATGAAAATGCCATCAGAGAAATGGTGGGTGCGTGCGTGCGTGCGTGAAATTGCTAAAAATACAGTTGTAATAAAATTTTTGGGTCTAACTATAATAGTTTTAACTACAAATTCTTTAACATGTAAATTGATAATACTAAGTGGTAGATCATAGGAAATTGTTGAGATTTCAACTATCGTTGTTGAATAAATAAATGTCAAATTCCGTGGTTTTTTTTATTTGGATATTCAATTTTTTATCATCTTATTTCTAAAACAGAGAATGTTTAGCATCAAGAGGCAAGTATTTCGGTTATTTAATTAATATTTCATTATATTTGATGAATTTATCTTAAATGCCAACAATGACACGTGACAATTTATAAAAGCACATGATGCTTGACATTTGCTTTTCATTTATCATATTTCCTCCCCTAAACTCAATGTAATCGCATTAGATGATAGAATTAGTTTTTTTTTTTTACTGACAAATTAGTTATGAGTTGAACATAAGGGGAAAATGTGTCTTTGTAGGAATTACCTGCATCAATGGAATTGATTCAATCATTTCATGAAGCAAAGTGTCTTATGAGTAAGCCGTTGAAGCTACAGAATATCAGATACATGGAATTTTGGGATTGTTCAAAATTAAAGTCGTTGTTCAGTGTTTCCATTGCCAAAACCGTCATGTTGGAGCGCTTGAAGATTGGGAACTGTGAAGAATTGAAGCACATCATAACAAATGAAGTAGAGGATGATGACCATCTCAACTGCACCTCCATCTTCCCAAATCTAGAAAGCCTCCGTATCTGGAATTGCAATAAGTTGGAATTTATATTTCCATCTACTTTTTTTGGAGGTTTGCAAAAACTAAAATCTATAGGTATTCATGGAGCTTCTGAATTGAAGCATGTTTTTGGAAAATATGACCCTGAAGATTATGTATCAAACGAGAATGGGAATAATGAGCCTCACATTAATCTTCCTGCACTGGAGACACTATCCCTCCAAGAGGTACCAAATATTATTAGCATCCATATCAAGAAGTATCATCTGGAATGCCCATCTCTACAAACTGTGAAAGCACCGAAGGTTTTTTTTTTTTTAACTTATTGCTTTATATTAAGTATATCATGCTTTATTTTTTGGCCCAAAATATATTGATATGCATCTTTGCCTGTAATGCTGTGAAATTTCGCTTAAAAGAAAGTTATTTGTGAGTATACTGTTAAATTTTCAACTTGTTAAGCTTATATATGTATATATATATATTGACATATAGAGTAGTTTTTTATTATTTCCATTTACGAGATAGAGTCGTTAGGGTAAAATTTCGCTTAAAATGCTTGATTTATTATTTTTATTTACAGGATAGAGTAGTTATCTGAAAAATATTTCTATACGTGATTAAAAATAATTTTTAAAATTGTTTTTATTATATTTAAATATTTACAAGTCAAACATAACATATTTACAAGTAAATATTTAAAATTTTAATTTGTAAATATGTATTGTTTGATTCAAAATATTTAAATATGAATAATATAATAAAAATATTTGTAAATATGTATTGTTTGATTCAAAATATTTAAATATGAATAATATAATAAAAATATTTTCTTTAAAAAAAAGTACTTTTTTGACCAACTAAAGCTGGATGGGGATTGGTAATTGACTATTGGCCATAGGACAATGACAGCAAGTGGTTGGTCAATGTCAATCAAAGAATTGTGAGTCTAAAGACATTTGAGTTATTTTACATGGTAAATTTTTTTTTTTGGTTACCGTTGTGTATCCTCGTATTGAATATAATCTTTTAAGATATTATTAGGTATTAAATGTATGCATATTTTCTAATAAAGATTCAAACTTTGATTCACGATGTAGTGAGAGATTAATTATTTTCTCTAGACACAACTTTTGTTGATTGATAAAATAATTACAATTAAGTTCTATAGAACTTAAAGTGTTTTTACAATTTTGTAGGACTTATTTTTAAATATGATTCTCATATGGACTCACTTATAATTTTCCCTTAATAATCATTTTTATTTTTTGAATCCTTAAATTAAATAAAATTTTTTTGGGTTGCTAATACTTGTTTTCAGAAGTTGAAAAAAATTTAATTATAAGAAAAATTTGATTCATTTCTTATACTTTACGTTTGAGATTTGTATTTTTCAGCATTTCTTAAATAAATAAACTTATTTATTTTAAAGTTATAGTTCTAATCATTTTATTAAAATAATTTTAAAATGATTTATTTTATGGTTGTTATTTTTTATATAGCAAATTAAAATATTTTCATTTTGTGTGCAGAAAACATTTTCAATTTTTATTCTTAATGCGTGAATTTTTTGTTTTAAACATAAATACTTTCTTTTATAATAATTAAATTAATACATAATAATTTTAATTAAATGAATTTTGAACGTACAAGTTATCATTTTCTATTAGCTTATTTAACCATGTTAATTTCTAAAATTTTTATATTTTGAAAATTAAAGAATTAACACAGCTAACTGAAATGAATTTTGCCATAATTTTTTTTTAAAAAAAGATCGACTAAATGTATGTCATGTCCTAAAATTGTTAGTTAAAGTTTAGAAAATTAAAATTTATATTTTAGTTTCCAGTTTACTATTCATTTATTCTGATTATCTTTTGAAGAAATTTAAAAAATTATAACTAATTTTTGAAAAATATATCAACATAGTTGGAGTATCCATTTAAGGCTCTCTGAATGCTCTATATGGACAAAATATAATTCTGGACCTTGATTGTATATGTTACTGTGTTGAAATACTTTTTACGTAGATGATGTAGATGTAGATCTTATCACGAAGGAAAATTGTTAGCTAACACTTGTTAGATAGATTGCAAAGAGAAAAATCTTAGCTTACACAGAACATTTAGGGCTAGTTTGGTTTACTTAGATTTTACATTCAAAAAGAACTTTTGAAAATTTAAGAATGTAAAAATTGTATGGTTTCCTCAGATTATTTTCAATGTCCATTTAAAAATAAATTGGAAAAGATCCAAAAGTTTATTTGTTGAACTTAACTTTGGGTAGCTTTCAAAAAATACTTTGCATAATTTTGTCACCAACTGATTCTCACTTTTCTATTTTTACTCAATTATTATTATAATCCAAATAATTTTTAATTTATTAAATTAATAGAACCAATGATGAATCATATCATAATGTTTACAATCTTAGAAATTTCGCAAATGTATCATGCATGTTTGTACATATTTCTTTTTTTTTTGGGGGTAAAATTGGACTAATTGGAGGCTAAGTTTCACAGAGGAGGGATGATGAATTTTTATTGTTATTTGGAATTGAATTTCCTCTTTTTGAAACTTGCAGGAATTTAATTTGCAGATGCATGATGTGATGAGTGGAGGAGCTAAGGCATCTGAGAAAAAAGAGATTGTTGATGCTGGAAGACCAGTGATTCCAAACATGGGCATCGAATATGTTCTCAACTTCCATACTCTTAAAGTAATAAGAATCGGAAGATTTAAAAAGTTGAAAACTATGTTCGTTTTATCTTCGTGGAAAAACCTACCACAGTTGTCCGAGTTATGTATAGCAGACTGTGAGGAATTAATTGATGTGGTTGAAGATGATTCTAAGAATTATGATCACATCAATTATAGCTCCGTTTTCTCAAAGCTGGAGTATCTTACAATCCGCGGATGCAACAAGTTGGAATTTATACTTCCTCACTCCTTGTTCAGTGGTCTTCAAAAATTAAAGTATTTGAGTGTCCATCAAGTTGCAGAGTTGAAATACATTTTTGGAAAGCATCATCAAGGAGATTATGCATCAAATGAGAATGAAAGCGATGAGGTCCACATTGATTTCCCAGCTTTGGTATATCTTGATCTCGGAGGTGTACCAAAGATGATCAACATTAGTTGTGCAAAAAATTATCACCTGAGCTTTCCATCTCTACAAGATATTGGTTTAGATGACTGTCAAGAGATAAACGGAAGATCTTTTCTGGATTTGATGGTTTGCTTACAAGGGAGACAATCAGATGTGAAAACTGAAAAGGTAATACGTTTAACATATTGTTCTATGATATGTATTGCTATGTTGATTTGGCCCTTGGAAATTTTTTCATCACAACAATTTTTTTGTGTATAAAAAAATTTGAATTTTTATTCTTAATGCGTGAATTTTTCATTTTAAACACAAATATTTATATAATAATAATTAAATTAATACATAATAATTTTAAATAAATAAATAAACACAAATTTTTTCTTATACTTTAGGTTTGAGATTTGAATTTTTCAGGATTTCTTAAATAAATAAACTTATTTATTTTAAAGTTATAGTTCTAATCATTTTATTAAAATACTTTTAAAATGATTTATTTTATGGTGGTTATTTTTTATATGGTAAATTAAAATATTTTCATTTTGTATACAAAAATATTTTCAATTTTTTTTTCTTAATGCGTGAATTTTTATTTTTTTAAGCACAGATATTTACATTATAGTATTAATTTAGTACATAATAATTTTAATTAAATGAATTATGAGCATACAATTTGTCATTTTCTATAAGCTCATTTAACCACGTTAAGTACTAAAATGTTTTGGTTATATTGTGAAAATTAAAGAACTAACAGCTCACTGAAATGAATTCTACCATAACGTTAAAAAAAAGAAAAAAAAGATCGAGCAATGGATGTCATGTCCTAAAATTGTTGGTTATGGTTTAGAAAATTAAAATTTATATTTTGTCGTCGGGTTACCATTCATTTATTCTGATTATCTTTTGAAGAAATTTAAAAAATTTTAACTAATTTTTGAAAAATCATATCAACATAGTTGGAGTATCCATTTAAAGCTCTTTGAATGCTCTATATGGAAAATATATATTCTTAAATTTTCAAAGGTTCTCTTTGATTGTAAAATGTGAGTAAACCAAATGGGCCCTAAATATTTCTGGATTTGACGGTTTGTTTACAAGAGAGACAATGAAATGTGAAAACTGAAATGGTAATACATTTAACATATTGTTCTATGATATGTATTGCTACGTTGATTTGGCCCTTGCAAATTTTTTCATCACAACAAATTTTTTAGAATTCAATTAAAATATAAGTAATATAGTGTCATACATAGAAATTTGTTGTTTGCATCACTATATGCCTTTGGTTGATATAATTCGGCATAACTCATTCTATACAATAAATCAAGTTTCTCCGCTTAATATAATTCAAATCCATTAATAATGGTATTGGGAAACCTCACAACTTGATAATGTTTAATTATATGTTGTAACTGATTCAAAATCTTACCGATTTGCACTCTGACTATGTGAATTAGATGGACCATATTAATTTTATCTTGAAATGGTACATGCTTATTAATGTGTAGATATGAATGAGAATATGACTTTCCTTTAATATTGCATTATCTATGCACTGAACTTTGATGAGAGATGACCTTTGAATTTACGCTGAAATTTTGAACGGATAAATCTTTATTAGGACTTGATGAAAATTATCAAGGACATGCAAAGGTTGACATGCCTTGGAGTACGCAACTCAAAAATACAAGAGGTCTTTAATTTAGAAGAAGTGAAAATTGAAGGTTCACTGACATTAAGCTTAGAAATCATGTGGTTGAAAAATCTAAGTGAATTGAGGCATATATGGAAGGCTCCCAAATATATGTTGAGCCTCCACAACCTTCGAAGACTAGAACTCAAAGCATGTGAAAAGCTAAGATCAATCTTCCATATCTCAGAATTGAAAAGCCTCCCATCATTGCACTGTTTAGAGATAGAAGACTGTGAAGCATTAGTTCATATCATTGAAGAGGATTATGAAGAAAGTGCTCATGACCAATTCCATCAACTTTTCTTCCCAACATTAAAAGAAATTTGCATCCGGCGTTGTAATAGCTTGAAATGCCTTTTCTTGATCTCAACATCTGCCATGTTTCCAAGGCTACGGGAGTTAAAAATAGAAGAATCCCTTGAGATGGAACAAGTAATTGCATGCAAACAACATCATACCCAGAAGATGGTGGTGAAAGATGTATTTCCAAAACTGTCAAATTTAACACTTGGAAAACTGCCAAGGCTTGTTACAATTTGTGGGGAGATTGATTTTCGTTCCGTACAGAGCTATGAAGTGGTTGATTGTCCCAAATATCAACGTATGAATTTGTGAAACGTTACTTTAAATAATTGCTAGTTTTTATTTTTTTGGTGAAAAAAGGCACAGCCCATGCTAGCTGCTAGTTTTAATAATACTAATAATATTATGTTCAAATTTTCCATAGAAATTACTTCTCGACTTCAAGGAGGGCCTGAAGATCTTGATTCAAAAAATCAAGCATCAACAGAGGGGCTACTTTCTGCTCATTCCAATAATGCTCATCAAATGCCACATATGGGAGAAACAAGTGCTTCCCGAAACTCCACAGAGGTATGCTAGCCCCTAACCATTGAATCAATCAATTTGTGGCGTCATTTCAATAAACCAACAAACATTGTTTAGGGAAAATTAATCTGGAGATCCTTCCGGTTCTTATTGATTTTGAGTTAAATCTTTTTAGTTTATATTGTTTTAATCAAACTCTTATAGTTTGACCCATTAAATATATGAGTCCTTGAATAATATTAAAATCATTAATGAATGATTAACTATTCCAAAAATACACTTTTAAAATCTATAAAAAATTAATTTAATATTTTAAGCCAAAAAAGAAAAAAGAAAATTTGATTTAACGCAATGCTTATATTTTTATTGATTTTTTTAAAGAAAAACTTCATGAATTTTAAGCCTTAGGAAGGAACATATTTAAAACAAAATAAATTACAAGGACCTGATTTAAAATTTAAAATAAAACTAGAAGGACTTACAATTTAATTTTTCCTTTTCAAAAAAATTATCTTATTGCAGTACTGAATTTAACATTTTCATAAACTTGTTCACATATTATCGCTTGTCAATTTAGTTGGAATTATAAGGAGGCAAAATAGAAATAAATATTAAAGATCACCTTTCAAGGATATCATCAATGGTACCATTGAGCCTTACAGTCAAGAGAAGAATTTGTTTGTATATTTGAATTTTTGTAACAGTACAAGAAAAAGTTCATTTTGAACAGAGTGCTATAAATAGAACTCAGGGATATGATTGACGACTCTGGAGGCGTTGTTTTAAAGTTATTATTGGGTATTAGGAAGAGTTCAAAAGAAACTTTTTAAGTAACAAGCCGCTACTCCTGATAAAGGAACATGAATATGAAATATTTTGAAAAATTATTGGAAATATCAAAGATGTGTTGTCGAATTAAAAGATTCAGACATATTTGTACAATGAAAAAAGCATCACGAATAAAATGTGTCCTTTGATGTTGTTGTAGAGTAAGGAGGAAACAATAATGGAAATTAAATCCAAAGGTCCTCCTCCAGCGTTAGAGAAACAAGCATTGGATACTGCAACAGCTGAATCACAATCCAGAAGGACATGTCTACATGTAAGGTTATCCAAAATCCAAATTTGCCTAATATTAATGACTTGTTTGCTAATTATTTGACATTTCTGATAGGGTTTGGAGGATGAATACATAAAGAATGAATCAATCGTACAGCCCCAGCATCAGGATCTTGAAGAAACAAAATCATCCATTGAAGCATGCCACAAAACTAATACACTATTTCATGATGAGGTGCGTCACAACAATGAATATTAGTGATTTTGAAGTGACCTCTTCATAAGATATGATATCTTTACTATCATGTGTCGTTCAGAGTATTGATGACAAATTAAAAGAAAGAGTTCAAGAGGGTTCTCCCTCAGAGGACATGGTGCAAGCAACTATGTTAGCTAATTTAGTACCAAGGAACTCATCTTCAACATTCACCACTCCTTGCCAAGAAGAGTTGCCATTGGTTATTGATTTGTGTCTTCTGCCCTTTTTTTTGAATAAAGGATTAGAAATATGCTAATTAAATGGCTTAAACTTGTACCTGTTTCTATATTTATTGTTTATTTTAGGATTGGACAAAGATAGAATCAAGAAGAGAAACAAGTATGACACACCGGCAAGAACTAGGAGAAATGGTGATTGTTATATACTTTGAAGTTTGAACTCTTCAAAAAAATATTGAAGGATCTATGGATTATAATTCAACAATGTGATACTTACATATTTTCTGGTACTTTTACAGAATGTTGTTAAAAGCTTTCCAGAAGACACTGCAATTGCGGAAACTAAAATGGTAAATTCACAACATTCAATTTAAACTTATAGAATGTTTTTATACATTTAAGTTCAAGTACCACCCATCCATTACATCTTCACATGTCAATACCAACAAACGTATGCCAAATATCTAGCTTTAACTCTGGTTTTATTATTTATAAAGATCAATGAAGTTATCATAGTTCAACTACTTAGTCATAGCTCTTGGTGCTACTTTTGGTGTGACTCAGATTGATAGAGAAGCAGGGAAGGAAGTTGACGAAGTAGTTCCTGCTTCAAAGTTACCAGAAACAACTTCACTTGATTTTGAGGTGATCAAAATGGAATCTCTAACTTTAAATATCCCATCACATGACAAACTAGGAAATTAAATCAGAGTTTCTTATGATATATTGAAGGACCAAACAAATTACAGACATTTCTTTTGCATTTCTACAGAGTGGAAATGAAAGTATTCCAGAAGAAACTATATCTAGGAAAGCCAAAATAAATACTTCCTCCATTTGTTCAAAAGCAGAAACCTCACAATCAAATCCACCTGCACAAGTAAGTTCACTTTCCATTTAAACTTGCAGCATTTTTATTTAACTTTATGATTGTAAGTTTAGACGCCAACCATTCATTACATCTTCGTGGATCAACGCCAACGAATCTCCACCAAGTATCCTGTCTCAACTTTTTGTTATTTACATATGTAAATTGATTCTTGAATAAAAAATGAATTACATGATTTAATGAAAATACTTTATCAAATAAGTTCTATCTTTGGGTATTGCTCGAGTATTAGAAACAGGGGAGGAAGTTTTTTTGTCGTTATTCTTCCAAGTAGTTTTCAATTCTTCAATGAAATAAGTTCCCATATGTGTTTACCTTTATTTTTTTAATAATTTTAAATAACATATGATCATGGATAAAAGGGTTAAGACCAATCTTTTGTCCATCTTCATATTTAGTATTTTCTTAAGATCAAAGAATTAAAAACAAGCAAACCAAATTTTAAAAGACCAACAAAAAGCAATTGAAGATATATAGAAAATGAAATTAAAATTTCTCATGAACTAATGTATGCTTCTTCTTCTTCTTTTTTTGTTTTTATTATCCGCTTGATAGTTGTCTCTTTTTGGCAAAATGTAACAACAATAATGAAACTACAATTTCTTTATCTTGTTTAGATTACTCCAAGCAACAAAGTAACATTGGAGCAAGAACTTCAAGAGAGTTATGCAACAGAAGAAGCCATAACAGCAAATCGATCAATTAATTTGAAGCAATCAAGATCAGTTAGTGTCTTAGAAAAAGAAAAGCCACAGGTAGGTTCATTATCCTTTCCTAATAAATATGGGAGCTGAACTATTCAAGAGATGCTATGAATTTTTTATACATTCATCATTATAGAAGAGATGGGCAAACAATCACTCTAAAAACATAGCTTAGCATATTAATGACCTAAAAATTTAACAGCTTGCTTATATGTTTCTGGTTTTTAGAGCACTAACAAAGCTTCAAAGGAAATATTTGAAAATACTTCAAAGTCAGCTCTGTTGGATTCAGAATTCGTAAGAGCATTTATGTGTCCACTAACCTCTTTATATATTTCATCATCAAGTGAACAACTTGCAATAGCATGTTTCTGCTTCAATGAATAAATGAAGTTACTTTATTAAACAAATTTAATCTTTTGGTGTTATTTAGAGCTTAGAAATTGAGAAAGTTGTAGGAATAGCTACTGCTTCAGCATTAACCACAGCTTCATCAAATTCAAAGGAGATCCTATCATCCTAATTACATTTCCAAGGAAAACATATTCTGTAGTCTATGAATTCATGAGGTTGCTTTGTGATTGAACAAATTTTTTTTTCTTCCCATTTTGATGTCATTCAGTTCTCAAAAACAAGGAAAGAAGCTGTTGGAATACTTCCTACTTCAGGGTTATCATTGTCTACAACAACATCAAATTTAGAGGTTATCAAAGCCACATCTCCCAACCCTATGTATTATTAACATGAAAGTGGTAAAAAGTTAAAATTGACTCTTTTTTTAACAATCATCCAATGTCTGAACAATTAGCACTTGCAGCCTTGCATTGGTTAGTGTGTTATGCCCCCTTTTAATATAATATTAGGAATATGATAATTAAATGGCTTAAACTTGTATTTTTATGTATATTCATGCATTGTTTTAGGATTTGGTGAAGACAAAGTGAAACAATCATGACATACTTGTAGGAATAGGAAGAAATTTCACCTGTTGTATACTCAATCTTTTCAAGCAATATTGCAGGACTGATCAATTTTAATTAAATGACCAAATACTTACATATCCCTTTTGTTTGTACAGAGTGTAACTGAAAGTATTCCAGAACACACTACACCCATGAAAGCTAAAATAAATACTTCCTCAATTTATTCAAAAGAAGAATCCTCACAATTGGATCCACCTGTGAAGGTAAGTTAAGTACATTCATGTTAAACTTGTTGGACTTTTTTACTTTACAATTGTAAGTTTAGATGGCAAGTTGGCAATCATTCATTACATCTTCACGGATAATATATGTGAATTAATTAGTCAATTTAAAAAATAAGTTTTGGTTTAATGAAGTTGCTTCATCAAGTAGGGAAGGAGGTTGTTGGAATATCTCCTATGTTTAGGACTTGAGGAAGTAGTGTATATTATTATCTACATATTATTGAACAAAGTGTATAAACAAATGAAATCTACGTTGGAAATACCAAATGAGTAAATGAAGAAAGGGGAAATTCTTTATGTTTCTTAGGTTGATGCTAAGATGAAAGGAACATTAGAACACTACTTTGAAGGGCATGATGCATCAGAGGAAGCCATTGTAGCAATTCAATCAACTGATTCAGAATCAATGAAGCAATCTAGAGTACCATCGGTTATTGCACAATTAAGTTCGGAGAAGGCTACAAAAGCAAGCCTTGATGAAGTTATTCCTCCTCTCCATCGTGGTAAGTGTCTTTATTCTTGTGATGGTTTCCTGTATTAGAGAGAAAGTCCCACATATAGTAATTAATTAGAAAGTATATTAATGATATATAAAATTCAGAATATACCCAACTAAGTGGTTTAAGCTATTTTGATAAAATAAACAATCATTAAGCACGTATAATGTAAAGAAATTAACACGGTATCAAGAGCCAATCGATTTGGAACAAAAACAAAAAAAAAAAAAAGGAAAAAAGGAAAAATAATGAAAGATGAAGAAGGGGGGGAGAGAGAGATTAAAAAGAAACAGAAAGAGGGAAAAAATTAAAGGGTAATAGACACGAGACTTCTAAGACTAAAAACAATACAAGTTCAAGCAAGAAAAAGAAGAAAAATGAAGATAACATTGCAGAGGAAGTATTAAAGGAAAAATCCCACAAGTAATAATTAGAAAGTAGATTACAAATATATAAAGCAAGTGACTTGAGGTATTTTAATGAATAGGCAAGCTAATAATTAGAACATAAATTAAGAATATATAAAGCTTTATCCTGTGACTTAAGTTATTTTGGTGAAACAAACAATCCTTAAGCACACCTAATATAAAGAAATTGTCATCATGTATTTTTTCTATCATTTGATTACTTTATTCGCCACGTCAGAATCCCAAATTGGTGTTGCTGGCTCTTCTTCTTCAAAAATGGGGATCGGTGAAATCTTAGAATTGGTGGATTTAAAAGATGGTGAACCAGCTTTGCTTGCAAAAGCACTAGAGCTATGTCCCCAATTGAGGCTATCTCATGAACAGCATCTTCCCCGCGCAGTGATAGCTTTCTCCTACAGAGTGCTATGTGATATTTTAATCATCTTGGCTACCAAGACCCCTTGCACCATCACAACATCGGACAAATCAACCTTAGAACAAAACTTGGAAGCTGCAACATTTTTAGGGTTCGACAAAGGTTGGATCGAGACAGTTCAGGACAAAGTTTTGGGCATCGACATGTCTGATGATGTCATGGCGGCGGAAGAAGAAATTCAAGTGGTGAAGGCAGAGCTGGAGACATGTGACATTGCATTGGAGCAAGTTCGAAAACAGAGAGTAGAAATCAAAGAGCGGCTTGCAGTGATGCGAAGAAATATGGAGACGGTGCAGAGTGAGTTTGAAGCAATTGATTCTCAATTGTTGAGTTTGTTGGAAGGTCGCAAGAAATTAACTAGCAAGATGGCGGAGTTCAGAGAAAGAATCAGTATTAAGCACAGACCCTTTGGCATTTAGTCATCATGTTTAATTTGTGCCATGCATGTTGTTTAACTTCTATTTCGCAAGAGGCTCAAAAAGGGTGTAAACCATAATGTATATGATATATAGAGTGTAGACCAATATCATTTCCTTCAGTTTAACTAAATAATAAGGATCTGAGAACTTTGATGTATGGATAAATTTGACTTTGTATGTGGATAATATTATGATCTGCTAGTTCCAATAAAATAATATATGAGTACAGTGGAATAGCAAGTGTATCATTAATAATATATATATATATATTCAGATCAAATTTCAGCAACTATATATTGCATATGAAAGTTCAGGATCAATATAGTAAATTTATGTCAAGGATTAAAACATTTCTTGAGCATCAATTAAGGGCCAAAATGAGAATTTTGATGTTAAGTTAGTTAAATACCTTTGCTATAAGTTTTTTCCCATAACGTTGGATGATAAATTTTGGAATACCACTTGCAAATAATTTTATATTAAATTGTTAATTCAGGAATAGTTAATGTCAAAATTTAACATAACTTAATTATTGGATTAATACCCAATACTTACACGTATCTCTTTTGCATTTCTACAGAGTTTCTTTCTGTAGAAATGAAAGTATTCCAAAAGACACTACACCTAGGAAAGATAAAATAAGTACTTCCTCCACTTATTCACAAGCATAAACCTCACAATTAAATCCACTTGCAGAAGTAAGTTCACTTTCCATTTAAACTAATAATATTTTTTATTTTATTTTATAATTGTAAGTTTTGATGCCAACTATTCATTACATCTTCACATGTCAATGCCAACAAATCTCCACCAAGCATCTTGTCCCAACTTTGTTTTTGTTATTTACATAAGTAAATTGATTAGTCAATAAAAAATTAATTCTACGATTTGATGAAAATACTTTATCTAATAAGTTCTATCTTTGGGTATTACTCAAGTATTAGAAACAGGGGAGGAAGTTTTTTGGACATTATTCTTGAAAATAGCTTTCAATTCTTCACAGCTGTGTTTGCCTTGATTTTTTAAATAATTTTGAATAATATATGAAATTGGATAAAACGGTTAAGACTAATCTTTTGTCCATCTTCATATTTAGTATTTTCTTAAGATCAAAGAACTGCAAACAAGCAGACCAAATTTTAAAGACCAACAAAAAGCAAATGAAGATACAGAAAATGAAGCAAATGGAGTATGCTATTTTTTATTATCCACTTGATGGTAGTCTCTTTTTGGCAAAGTAACAACAATGAAAGTACAACTTCTTTATCTTGTTTAGGTTACTCCAAGCATCAAAGTAACATTGGAGCAAGGACTTCAAGAGAGTTATGCAACAGAAGAAGCCATAACAGCAAATCAATCAATTAGTTTAGATTCAGAGAAGCAATCAAGATTAGTTAGTCTCTTAGAAAAAGAAAAGGCACAGGTAAGTTCATCATCCTTTCCTAATTAATCTGGGAACTGAAGTATTCAAGAAATACTATCAATTTTGCATATTCATCGTTATATAAGAGATGGGCAAACAATCAATATGTTTCTGGTTTTTAGAGCACTAAAAAAGCTTCAAAGGAAATATTTGAAAATACTTCAAAGTCAGCTCTGTTTGATTCAGCACTTATAAGAGTGCTTATATGTCACCTAACTTTTTTATATATTTCATCATCACATGAACAAATTGCAAGAGCATGTTGCTGCTTCAGTGAATAAATGAAGTTACTTTATTAAACAAATTTAATCTTTTGGTGAGGTTTAGAGCTTAGAAAAAGGGAAGGGAGTTGCAGTATTAACCACAGCTTCATCAAATCCAAAGGTGATCCAAATGACATTTCCAAAGAAAATATATTCTATAGTCTATGAATTCATGAGGTTGTGTGATTGAACAATTTTTCTTTTTTTCATTTTGATGTCATCCAACTCTCAGAAACAGAAAAGGAAGCTGTTGGAATACTTCTTACTTCAGAGTTATCGATGGCTACAACTTCATCAAATTTAGAGGTTATCAAAATCACATCTCCAAACTCTATTATTAACATGAAAATGGTTATAAAAAGTTAAGATTGATTCTCTTTTTTAACGATCATCCAATGTCTGAACAATAAGCACTTGCAGCCTTGGAATGATTAGTGTGTTATGCCCTTAATATTAGGAGTATGATGATATTATGTATAATATTAGGATTTGGTGAAGACAAAGTTAGAAAGTGAAATTTCACCTGTTGCATACTCAATCTTTTCAGGCAATATTGCAGAACCCATCAGTTTTAAGTATATGACCAAATACTTACATATCCCTTTTGTCTGTACAGAGTGTAAGTGAAAGTATTCCAGAAGTCACTACACCTATGAAAGCTAAAATAAATACTTCCTCAATTTATATACAAGAATCCTCACAACTGGATCCACCAGCAAAAGTAAGTTCACTACATTCATGTTAAAATTGTAGCATTTTTTTTTTTCACTTTACAATTGTAAGTTTAGAAGGCAAGTTGACAACCATTCAATACATCTTCACGGATCAATAACAATAAATCTACACAAAAATATCTCGTCCCAACTTATTTTGTTATATATATACATATTTGAATTAATTTTTCAATTTAAAAAATAAGTTTTGTGGTTTAATGAAGTTACTTTATCAAATAAACTACATCTTTTGGTATTACTCAAATATTAGAAAGAGGGGAGGGAGGAGTTGCAATTATTCTTGAAATTCGTTTCTAATCTTCACATGAAATTAGTTTCCAGCAGTATTTGCCTTGACTGTTTTAATAGATTTGCATAACATATGAAAATATATAAAAGGGTTAAGACTAATCTTTTATGCATCTTCATATTTGGTATTCTTTTTTATGATCAATGAACTACAAACAAGCAAACCAGATTTTAAATACAAACAAGAAGCCATTGGAGATGTAGAAAATAATACTAAAATTCTTGAGGAATTAATATATGCTATTTTTATCCTCCACGTAACTTAATACTAGTTATTTGTCGGCAAATGCAACATCATTGATACTACAACATTTCTTTCTCTTGTTTAGGTTATTTCAAGTATTGAGGTCAAAATAGCAAATCAATCAATTGATTTAGATTCAGTAAAGCAATCTAGATTAGTTGGTCTCTCAGAAAAAGAACAGGCACAGGTAAGTTAATTATCCTTTCCTAATTAACACAGGAACTTCAGTATTACAGACTGTAGATAGGCTTTAACTTTTGCTTATTCATTATTATATAATAATAGATGGGCAAACAATCGCTCTCAGAGTATGATAAGCTTATGAATGTCTTTAACTTTGCTTTTATGTTCCTAATTTATAGAGTACTAACGAAGCTTCAAAGAGAGCTGTTGAAGAAGTTTCTGCTCCAGAGGCATTATCAAAGTCAACTCAGTTTGACTCAGAATTTGTAAGAGGGCGCTTTGATGTCTTCTAACCTTAATAGAGTTGTAAACAACATCAAATTTTGAAAGTCTGCGTCAAATTAACTATAACTAACATATTGTTTTATGTAGACTGAGAAAGAAACAATGAATGAAGGTGTTCAAGAGGAGCATAAAGCAAACAAGGCTCCAAAAGCAAACCTGTCAACAGACCCACATCGCTATTTACCAAAACCAGCAAAGGGCAATACAGCCCTTGCTGATGTGATCCCTCCTCCTCTTCATCAACGGAAGTGTCTTTCTTTGTGTGACGAATTGATGTGTTCCATTCAATCATCTGCTAACTTTCTTGGATATGCCAGAAGCACAAATTGATGTTGCAACCCCTTCATCTCCTACGTTAGGGATTAGTGAAATTTTCCAAATAGTGGAGTTGAAAGATGGCGAACCTACATTGCTCGCCAATGCGCTCGAGCGATATCCACAGCTAAGGCTACCTCACGAACAACACACCAATCGAATTATAGCTTTGTCCTACCGAGTGCTCCTTGACATTTTGGTCATCCTAGCCACCAAGACTCGCCGTACCATTACACCATCGGATAGATCGATTCTGGAGGACTTAGGGGAAGCGACTATTCTTGGGTTCGACAAAGAGTGGATTGAATCAGTTCGCGCCAAAATTTCTGGCTCTGATACGATTGATGTCTTGGTGGCAGAGGAGGAGATACTAGACATTGAGGCGAGGCTGGAAACATGTGAAATTGCGTTGGATGAGGTCTATAAGCAAAGAGCAGAAGCAAAAGAATGGCTTGAAGCAATTGATTCTCAGTAGTTGGGTCTTCTAGAAGATCGCAAGAAATTGGTTATCAAAATGGCAGAAACTAGGGAAATAGTGAGTGCCATGGATAAACCTTTGGATTTTAGGTTTCCTAATTGTTGGTTTGTGTTCATGAAAGAAGCAGCCTGTTGTATCAATGATACAGAATTGTAGACCAATTTTCTGGTTCTGGGTGCGTTTAGGCGATCAGCACTCCAGCTTAATATATTTTCAAAGGATATATTGTTATGAATATTATAATTAGTGTGCTGCAATGCCCTTTATAAATATTAGTAATTATTTTGATTTAAATAATAATTATGTGTTTTTGGTAATCACTAAAAAGAAAAAAAAAACAAATGATAAGTTTGGCTTTGCAAATGATTAAATTGGAGACATTATAATTATTTCACAACAGATGTTAATTTCAAAAAGATTTAAAAAATTTTAAAAAATTATCACATTTCATAAGACTTTATTATTATTATTATTTTTGCCTGAACCTTATTATCCTTTATATATTTCAAGAAAATTTTACAGTCATTTTCTCTAAAAAATCATTCTAGTATTTATTTTATATAACTTCTAATTGTACAATCATATTGTTTAATTCTCATCTTTGTATACTTGTAATTTGTAAAGGTAGTCCTTAAAATTAGGGTTCTATAGAAACGATGTGCACGCATTTGTGACCACACAAAAGAATAAAAATTTCTCCTCCTTTACTCTCCAATCTCTTTTGTATTTTTTATCTTTATTACTTTAATATTTTTTGTCAATTTCATTTCTCTTATCCAAAACTATTATATTTTTTAATTTTATAATATATTATCGGCACGAAACTCAATTAAATTAGTTAATAGTATAAATTTGAAAGATTTATAATTGATTATTGTTGAATTTTGTTCGTGATAATAAATTTTTTTATATGAATTATTTGCACATTGGTCATTATATATTTTTATTTTAGTTTTTATGGATTTTTTTGTATTCCTCTACATTTTTTTCATTAATTCGATAATAGGTTTCATAATGTTAC